CTCAGCCTCCCAAATAGCTGGGACTATAGGTATGTGCCACCACGTCTGGCTAATTATTATTATTATTTTATTGTATTTTTAGTAGAGATGGGTTGTGCTATGTTGTCCAAGCTGGTCTCCAACTTCTGGTCTAAAATGATCCACCTGTCTCAGCCTCCCAAAGTGCTGGGATTACAGGTGTGCACCATGATGCCTGGCCAAAAAATAATTTAATTTAATATGTACCCATTATTTCCTCTTTTAGCTTTCCTTTTTTTTATTTTTTTATTTTTTTGGGGGGGAGGAAGGCAGGAAGGGAGGGAAGAAGGACGGTAGGGAGGAAGGAAGGGAAGAAGGACGGTAGGGAGGAAGGAAAGGATGAAGGAAGGAAGGAAGGGAGGAAGCGGGGAGGGAGGGAGGGAGGGAAGGGAAGGAAGGAAATCAAGCAATGAGAGAGACATTGCCAACCTGGATCTAGAGGTTTACAAGTTGATTTTTTTTTTTTTTGAGAGAAGGAAAGAAAAAAAAATAAGTAAAGGAGAGGAAGAAAGAGGAAGAGAATGAGGGAGAGTAAATGGAAATATTGCTTTATTTTGAAAAAAATTGGGTATTAATAATGGCCAATCAATGTTTCATTTAAGCTTATGGGTAGGTGTGATGTGGTATTGACAAGAATGTATATTTTGTGTGTTTGAAGTGGAGAGCTCTATAAATATTTATTAAGTTTACTTGTTCCGGATCTGAGTTTGAGTCCTTGATATCCTTATTAATTTTCTGTCTCATTGAATCTAAGTCTCGTATCTGGGTGTTAGGATTGTTAGCTCTTGTTGTTGCATTGATCCGTTTACCACTATATCTTTGTTGCTTTAAAATCTATTTTATCCGATATGAGAATTGCAACTCCTGCTTTTTATTTATTATTTATTTTTTCTCTCCATTTGGTTGGTAAATCTTTCTCCATCCCTTTGTTTTGAGTCTTTGTGTATCCTTGCATGTGAAACAGGTCTGGATGTAACATGCCGTTGGGTTTTGGCTGTGTCTTTTGATTGGGGGATTTAGTCAATTTAAATTTAGGGTTACTGCCATTTGATGTTGACCGGCTGTTTTATCCATTCGTTGGTGTAAATTCTTCTTTATGTTGGTGCTCTTTACTTTTTGGTATATTTTTAGAAAGGCTAATACTGGTTGTTTCTTTCTGTGTGTAATGCTTCTTTCAGAAGCTCTTGTAAAGCAGGCCTGGTGGTAATAAAATCTGAGTTCTTGCTTGTTCATAAAAGATTTTATTTTTCCTTCAGTTGTGAAGCTTAGTTTGGCTGGATATGAAATTCTGGGCTGAAGGTTCTGTTCTTTGAGGATGTTGAATATTGGCCCCCACTCTCTTCTGGCTTGTAGAGTTTCTGCTGAGAGATTTTCTGTAAGTCTGATAAGCTTGCCTTTGTGGGTAACCTGACCTTTCTCTCTGGCTGCCCTTAGTATTTTCTCCTTCGTTTCAACCCTGGTGAATCTAACGATTATGTGCCTTGGGGTTGCTCTTCTTGAGGAATATCTTTGTGGTGTTCTCTGTATTACCTGGGGTTGAATGTTGACCTGCTTTGCTAGTTTAGGAAAATTTTCCTGAATAATATCCTGAAGGGTATTTTCCAGCTTGGATTCATTCTCTCCGTCGCATTCAGGTACACCTATCAAACGTAAATTTGGTCTTTTCACATAGTCCCACATTTCTTGGAAACTTTGCTCATTCCTTTTTATCCTTTTTTCTCTAATCTTTTCTTCACGTTTTATTTCATTAAGTTGGACTTTGACCTCTGATATCCCTTCTTCTGCTTGAACAATTCGAGTGTTTAAACCTGTGCATACTTCTCAGAGTTCCTGTATTGTATTCTTCAGTTCCATTAATTCACTCATACTCCTCTCTAAGTTGTCTATTCTCAATAGGATTTCATCAAACCTTTTTTCAAAGTTCCTAGTTTCTTTACGTTGGGCTACAACATGGTCTTTTAACTCACCGAAGTTTGTTATTATCCATTCCTTGAAGAGTGATTCTGTCATCAGGAGGCGCTCGTTCTCCATCAAGCCGTGTTCCATTGTTGATGTGGAACTGTGATCATCTTTAGAGGGAGAGGCGTTCTGATTTTGAGTATTCTCAGCTTTTTTACGCTGGTTTCTTCCCATCATTGTAAATTTATCCTCCTGTCGTCTTTGACATTACCAACTTTCAGATTAGGTCTCTTGAGTGGATGTCCAGGTTGTTAGTTCCCAGGGCCACAGCAGCGGCGTTAAAACTGATGGTACTTTTCTGCCCAGGATTCTCCTGTCTGGCTTCCTTCTTGAGTCCGTAGTAGGTGACTCTGCCTTCCCGGTGCTCCAAACCTCTGTCAGAAGGGAAACCGGTCCTGTTTACTCTGCGCAGAGCGCTGCCACGCCGAGGTGCCGTCACAGCTGCTGCGCCGGGCTCTGGTGTCCTGCTGGGGACCCGTGCGGGTCCTCCGAACCTGTTTACTCTGCTCCGAGAGCTGCCGCGCCAAGGTGCAGGCGGAACCGCTGCGCCGGCCACGAGAGTCGCGCTGGCCACCCGTGTGTTTCCTCCACTGGGGGATCTTCTGCTCCGTGAGCGACCAGAATTTGTCTGAAAGTGTGGCGTCCTCTAGTTCTCCACGCCTTCCCTGAGAGCTGCAATCCCGGGATGTTAGCTATCGGCCATCTTGGATTGTTCTCCTTAGCTTTCCTTTTGTGTATACTCTTTTCCTTAAAATCTTTTCCCAGTCTGGCTTCCCTGTCTTTTGTTAAATGAAACTCTAGCCTCTCAGTTATCTATTTCTAAAATCCTGCCACTCCTTTATCCTGTTTCATCATTCAGCCATTAAATCTTATCAGCTCTTTGTTTATGCACTGTGGGAGTGCAGTGGCCTGATCTTGGCTCACTGCAACCTCTGCCTCCTGGGTTCAAGCAGTTCTCCTTCCTCAGCCTCCTGAGTAGCTGAGATTATAGAAGTGTGCCACCATGCCCAGTTAATTTTTGCATTTTTAGTAGAGATGAGGTTTTACCATGTTGGCTAGGTTGGTCTCAAACTCCTGACCTCAGTTGGTCCACCCTCCTCAGCCTCCCAAAGTGCTGGGGTTACAGGTGTGAGCCCCTGTACTTGACCGTCAGCTATTCTTTGAAAATACCTCCCATCTATACTGTTTCCAAAGGACGCCTGTGCTAGAGTTTTATACTTGATTACAATCATAATTATTGCCAAGGACCTAATTGATTTCCCTGTTTTTCTTTCTTTTTTTTTTTTTTTAAATATATGTATTTTATTGCACCTTAGGTTCTGGGGTACATGTGCAAAACATGCAGGATTGTTGCATAGATACATACATGGTAATGGGGTTTGCTGCCTCCATCCCCCCATCACCTATATCTGGCATTTCTCTCCATGTTATCCCTCCCCAACTTCCCTACCCCACCCCCATTTCCCCGCTTTGAACTCTAGAGTGTTCTGCTTTACACCCACAAACCTATCTTTCTAAAGCACATTCAGGATGTTGTTACCTCTCTGATTGCGTCACTTCCTCTCGTTAAAAGCCTTGGGTGAGCTCCTATCTCTCGCACACTAGGTGCCAATCTGACTTCTAGATGGTGATGGTATTCAAGACGCTCATGGTTTGGCCCAAACCAGGTGTATTACTTCCTGTGAACAAATGTTCTCTGCAAAGTAACTTGGAGGAAAGAGACTATTCCAGTGAACAGTTTGCAAACTGGCAGAACAAAGGGAGTGTGCAGGTTTTACAGTGCCTAGGTTTACAATCAAGTTTGTTTATGCAAAGGAAGGATTGAAACTTGGTTAGTTCTGATTGGTCAGCATAGCCAAGTTCTGATTGGTTGATAGAGCTCAGCCCTGACTGGTTAGTTTTCAAGTCGCAAACCAGAAGTCTGTCAGACATTTCTTTCAAAAGGCTGATTGAGGGAATTCAGGGGGTGGAGATTGGGGGCCCTTGTCCAGTTTATGTTGGGATTGTAAACTCCAACTTGTTCAGCTTGATTATAAAAAGGGAGGTCCTGTGATACTTTTATACATGGTTTTGAGAACAAAGAATACATGACCAATCCCTCCCCCAGCTATAGCTGTCTTGTTCTGTTTTAAACATGGCACCCCTCAGCTGCAGGAGTCCATGTTATCCGTTGGCCTGGGGTGTCCATTAACGTTTTCCATCTATACCCAATCCTTTGGAAGACTGGAATACTTAATATTTCTGTATTTCTAAACCTAATTTGCTCTCTGTTGTATGCACCTCTTTATCTCTCTTTAAATGCATTCTTTATATCAAACCATCTCAAATCATTTCAACCTGGAGGGCTTTTTTTTTTTTTAAATGGAGACAGAGTCTCGCCATGGTGTCTTGCCCAGGCTGGTCCCAAACTCCTTGGCTCAAACAGTCCTCCTGCCTTGGCCTCCCAATGTGTTGGAATTACAGGCATAAGCCATAGTGGCCAGCCAGGGAGGGCATTTATGGTGTGTTTCATGAAATCCATGAATCCCATGAAATTATATGCAAACGTTCCTATAAGTAGGTATTTTTCTGGAGAAAAGGGCTTTTGTCAATAGATTCTCAAAAGCCTATAACTCCCGAAAGTTAAATTGATTTAGTGGGCTTTGAAGTAATATAAATTAACTCATTTTATGTGTGTTCAGCAAAGTTTATGTCTCATTAAAACTTAGTTCTGAATCTGCTGGATGATGAAATAGTTTTGAATGGATAATTATATTTAAAGCTCAAAGTTTCATATTCAGGTAGAATGTTCTCATTCATTTTTTAGTTTCCTAGATGTAGTTCTGTGTGGAATCTTTTTTCCTCAAGAGTCAGCATCTCAGTATTTTTCACTTTGATATCTTTAGTTAAAGGAAATTTTTTTCCTTCCACTCCCACGTGATTATTCCTAAGCTAGTAGACAATACCATTTCTGTATGCTTTGATGTATTATTGCTTTTTAAAATATATTAGTCATTTTTTTCACTCTCTCTCTTTTTTTTAAGATTCCTCTAGGCAATGGAAACTGATCTCAATTCCCAGGACAGAAAGGACCTGGACAAGTTTATTAAATTTTTTGCCCTCAAGGTAATACGTCCATTCTCTTGAGCCTAGAACTGTTAGAAATAACTTCCGTGCTTCTCCCTTTTGAGAACAACTCTCTTTGGAAAGTAGCATAACAGCTTGCAGCTTGCCCATTTTAAGGGATACTTCTGTCTGTTGTAAACCAAACTGTGAGGTGTGGGGGCGGTATTGGGGGTGTAGCTAAAAAGTAGCTTCCAATTTTTCAGCTACTTGTTCAGAATTTTGTCTTTTTTCTTTCTTTCTTTTTTTTTTTTTGCAAGGCTGTTTGCAGAAATGTCAAACCATTATGCCAGGTTATTGGCACAGTATGTTCCCTTTGGGTGGGAACAAAGACTGTCAGCTGGAATAGGCAGCATTTTGGATATCTTTCCTTAAGCTTCAACTAAACCTGAAATGTTCAAGTTTTATATATTCTTCCCTTCCTGGTTAAATGAGGAATTAAAACTGAATTTTTTTTTTTTTTGAGACGGAATTTTGCTGTTGTTACCCAGACTGGAGTGCAATGGCACAATCTCGGCTTACCTCAACCTCCGTCTTCTGGGTTCAAGCAATTCTCCTGCCTCAGCCTACCGAGTAGCTAGGACTACAGGCGCGCACCACCATGCCCAGCTAATTTTTGTATTTTTATTGTAGACGGGGTTTCACCTTGTTGACCAGGATGGTCTCGATCTCTTGACCTTGTGATCCACCCGCCTCGGCCTCCCGAAGTGCTGGGATTATAGGCATGAGCCACCGCGCCTGGCCAGAACTGAATTTTGAATGCCATGTTTTCCTAAATCTAAAAATCATTTCCACCTTCCCTCACTCCTTCTCTCAACCATTGCCATGATAGAACAATCCATTTAGTTGATTTTAGTCATAAACTTAGGTGGAAGACTTTTGCCATATGGGCCAAATGATATGAATAATTGTGGAATTTTTGTTTTAAATCTTCCATGATGTTATAAGTTTGTGGCAGTGAATATTTAAAACCACAGTTGGACTAATTTCTTTATGTTTTGTTTTGTTTTTTGAGAAGGAGTTTCACTCTTGTTGCCCAGGCTGGAGTGCAATGGTGTGATCTCAGCTCACTGCAACCTCCACCTCCTGGGTTCAAGCAATTCTCCTGCCCCAGCCTCCCCGGTAGCTGGGACTACAGGCATGTGCCACCATGCCCAGCTAATTTTTGTATTTTTAATAGAGACGGGGTTTCACCGTGTTGACCAGGATGGTCTTGATCTCTTGACCTTGTGATCCACCTGCCTCGGCCTCCCAAAGTGCTGGGATTATAGGCGTGAGCCACCGTGCTCAGCTTTCCTTTCTGCCATATGAGAGTATTATAGTTTCCAAGCCTCGACATATAATTCCTTTTATTGGTTGACATTATACTCTCAGAAATATTTACAAAGTTATTCTTTCTGTGTAGTATTTTTTCTATCTGTTCTCAAAAATTAAAATTCTACTCTATACTGAAGTATACTTATGATTAGTTGGCATCTTTTAAACCCTGTATTGGGAGGATTTTAACCCTGATCTGGAGCTAGATTAGTTTGTTAAAACTTTTCATCTTTTTTTTTTTTGTATTTTTGTTTTCCTTTTTAGACTGTCCAAGTGATTGTCCAGGCTCGACTGGGTGAAAAGATTTGCACTCGTTCTTCTTCTTCCCCAACGGGTTCAGACTGGGTAAAATTCTATTATTTACTAAGGTGTATACTGTAGTGTTTGTCACAAGGAATGAATGTAAAGTTCTCAAGTGCAATAATAAGTAATACTATTTATAGTATTATAAACAACATTAAAATATCTAATTCCATGTGATCCATTTACTTGAAAAGGATGTTCTTATTGAATGTTAATCCTGTATTTATTTGATTCTTAATTTCCTGGAGTAATAGGTGAAAAGCGTAGTCCTTAGAAGACAAAAATTGTATCTTAGCTACTTTTTGTAATGCTAATTACCTTTTTCACCTTGAAATGTGGGGCTCTGATACAGGATTATTCCTTATGGTGAAGGGAGAAGTGAATGAATTGTCTTCCTTCATCAGCCACAGCAGTACTTGCGTTACCCAACATACACTAATTTCTGTTTCCATAATTTTTCCCATGAGTCTTTCATGCAGAAGTCACTTTTGTTTTCCAGTTCAACTTAGCAATTAAAGACATCCCAGAGGTTACACATGAAGCAAAGAAGGCACTGGCAGGGCAGCTGCCTGCTGTCGGGAGGTCTATGTGTGTGGAGATTTCACTTAAGACATCTGAGGTAAGGTTATGGCCAGGTTGGTGTCTTCATTTAGCACTCAAGACTCCTCACACTCTTAAGTCCAATTCATTTCTTAGTCTTATTCCTGCACCTTCCCTCTCTGACATTCATATCAGTCTCTGAGGGGGTCATGGCTTTTTCTTTTTTTTTTTTTTTTTTTGCTTGTTTGTTTGTTTTTTTAGACAGGTTTCGTCACCCAGGCTGGAGTGCAGTGGATTGATCTGTACTCACTGTAGCCTCCGCTTCCTGGGTTCGAGCTATTCTCCTGCCTTAGCCTCCAAAGTAACTTGGATTATAGGAGCCTGCCACCATGCCCAGCTAATTTTTATATTTTTAGTAAAAGTGTTTCGCCATTTTGGCCAGACTGGTCTTGAACTCCTGACCTCAGGTGATCCACCCACCTCAGCCTCCCAAAGTGTTAGGATTATAGGCATGAGCCACTGCACCCAGCCTGTTTTGTTTTTTGAAACAGGGTCTTGCTCAGTAACCCAGGCTGGAGTACTGTGGCACAATCATGGTTCATCGCACCCTCGACCTCCCAGGCTCAAACAGTCCTCCCACCTCATCCTCCTGAGTAGCTGGGACTACAGGCATGTGCCACCATGCGCAGCTAGTTTTTGTATATTTTCTAGAGATGGGGTTTCACCATGTTGCCTAGGCTGGTCTCAAACTCCTGAGCTCAGGCAGTCTGCCTGCCTGAGTCTCTCTCTTAGAGTCCTGGGATTACAGGGGTCATGGTTTTTGAACTTACTATTCCAACCACTTGGTATAGGCTCTTTGCCCTCTTATTCATATGATATACTTCTACTCATCCTTTAAGACTCACGTGCTCTAGAAACTTTCCCCCTTTTAGTGGGAGATACAACTGCAGTCTTCCTATAGTGCTTTGTTTATATTTGTTTCCACAGTATGACTTGCTGGATTGTCGTTGATGCTTTTTGGTTTCTTTCTTTTTGAGACAGAGTCTTGCTCTGTTGCCTAGGCTGGAGTGCAGTGGCTTGATCTTAGCTCACTGAAACCTCCGTCTTCTGGATTCAAGTGATTCTCATGCCTCAGCCTCCTGAGTAACTGAGATTACAGGTGCATGCCACCATGCCTGGCTATTTTTTGTAAAGACAAGGTTTCACCACGTTGGCTAGGCTGGTCTCGAACTCCTGACTTCAGGTGATCCACCTGCCTTGGCCTTCCAGAGTACTAAGATTACAGGCCTGAGCCGCCACACCCAGTCAACTATTGTTTTGAGATTGGGTCTCTTTGTCACCCTGGCTGGAATGCAGTGGCGCAATCATAGCTCACTGCAGCCTCAGACTTCTAGTTTCAATTGATCCTACCACCTCAGCCTTTCCAAGTAGCTGGGAGTATAGGCATGCATCACCACACATGGCTAATGTTTAAAAAAAAAATTTTTTTTGTAGAGATAGGGTCTCACTGTACTGCCCAGGCTCTGGAGTACAGTGGTACTTATAGCTCACTGCAGCTTCAAGCTCCTCGCTTCAACTGATCCTCCTGTCTCACACTCCCAAAGTGCTGGGGTTATAGGACCGAGCCACTTTGCCCACAGCCTGTATTATGAGGTTTTTTTTTTTTTTTTTTTTTTTTTGCGACGGAGTTTCACTCTTGTTACCCAGGCTGGAGTGCAATGGCATGATCTCGGCTCACCGCAACGTCTGCCTTCTGGGTTCAAGCAATTCTCCTGCCTTGGCCTCCCAAGTAGCGGGGACTACAGTCACGCACCACCATGCCCAGCTAATTTTTGTATTTTTAGAGACGAGGTGTCACCTCATTGACCAGGATGGTCTTGATCTCTTGACTTTGTGATCCACCCACTTTGGCCTCCCAAAGTGCTGGGATTATAGGCGTGAGCCACCGTGCCCGGCCGAGTTTTTAAAAATATATTTGCTTGCCTTATTTCACATTAGGATTGATGCAGATATTGTTTCTTGTATTTTTGTTAATGTATTTTCACTAATAGATCGTAAGGCTGTATGGTATAATGAAAGGTAAATAGAATTTGGAACGAACCACACAGAATCAAGTTCAGATCCCAGCTGAGTGACTTCAGCCAAATTACTTAATTCGACCCCACTAGCACTTTTTTGTTTTTGGATACGGAGTCTTGCTCTGTCGCCCAGGCTGGAGTGTAGTGGCATGATCTTGGCTCACTGCAGCCCGTGTCTCCCAGCTCAAACGATTCTTCTGCCTCAGCCTCCCAAGTAGTTGGGATTATAGGCATGCATCACCACTCCTAGCTAATTTTCTGTATTTTTAGTAGAGATAAGGTTTCACCATGTTGGCCGGGCTGGTTTCGAATTCCTGACTTCAGGTGATCTGTCCACCTCAGTCTCCGAAAGTGTTGGGATTATAGGCGTGAACCACTGCGCCTGGCCCCCACTAGCACTTTTAAACTAACAATATTTCACAGTCTTGCAGAGCTATAATATATATTTTTTAATCCTTATTTAGAAAATGAACAGAAAATCAAACACCGCATGTTCTCACTCATGGGTGTTGAACAATGAGAACACATGGACACAGGGAGGGGAGCATCACACACTGCGGTCTGTTGGAGGGAAATAGGGGAGGGACAGCAGGGGGTGGGGAGTTGGGGAGAGATAAAATGGGGAGAAATGCCAGATATAGGTGATGGGGAGGAAGGCAGCAAAGCACATAGCTTTGTATGTACCTATGCAACAATCTTGCATATTCTTCACATGTACCCCAAAACCTAAAGTGCAATTAAAAAAAAAATGTCTAACATACATGTAGTAAGAAGTCAACACATGTTCCTATTTATACTCTTAACTGCTTTTCTTCTTGAGGTCAACAGCTATGCCACATCTTACATATTTTTTAGTTCCTCAAGTTCTTTATGAAATGAGGCAGAGTGTAAATGAATAATCCTCTGTGTCCTCAGGACCCAGGTTAGTGCCTGGGATGGCATGTAGTATGCTTTCAAGAATTGTATTGAATAAATGATATCAGTATATATTCCATGGAAATTCTACTACCAAATAAAATGCTTCTTTGTTGAATTGCCAGTTTTTATAACAAAGAAACTGCTTCTTTGTTGAATTGCCAGTTTATACTGTTAAGTTTTCCTTAGTTATTCATAGGGAGTGTAAAATAAATCCCTTGAAAAACTCCTCTCCCAAGCACGTATAAAATCAGATGATAAACTGTTCCGATGGTCCTAGAGAGACCACATCAACTCAGGTGCTTCCCAGTATCTCGTTATCTTTTGAGTTTTGGGGGAAATTTAAATTTATCATACCATTTAAAAGTGACAGTGTGCTGGGCGCGGTGGCTTATGCTTGTAATCCCAGCACTTTGGGAGGCTGAGGCAGGCAGATCACCTGAGGTCAGTAGTTCAAGACCAGCCTGGCCAACATGTTGACACCCCATCTCTATTATAAAAAAAAAAAAGAAAAAAATTAGCTGGGTGTGGTGGCAGGCGCCTGCAATCTCAGCTACTCAGGAGGCTGAGGCAGGGTGCTTGAACTCATGAGGCAGTGGTTGCAGTGAGCCAAGATGGTGCCACTGAACTCCAGCCTGGGTGACAGAGTGAGACCTGTCTCAAAAACAAACAAAAAGTGACAGTGTGATCGGAAGGGTATGTCTATGAAGGATGCATATTTAAATTTGATCTAGAACAATTAAAAGTCAGTTCTCTCTTCCAAAAACTAACTCAGACTTACTCTCAACCCTAAGAAAATAGCCCTCTCCCAACTGATTAGTAGGAAGGTTTACTTACGTTCATAGATATGTGACTGTCTTTCTCACCAAGTGACACACAGGAGTGTTATAAGGTTGAGGGATTCTGGTTTGAGTCATTTATTTTTCTTTCCTGTCCACTGGGCTATGTCTGTTTAGAATAACATCTAGAGAGGTGAACAGTTTAGCTAAAGTATCAGACAGCTAAAAGTTTTTTTCTTTGAGACAAAGTCTCGCTCTGTTACCCAGGCTGGAATGCAGTGGCATGATCTTGCCTCACTACAACCTCCACCTCCTGGGTTCAAGCGATTCTGTCACCTCAGCCTCCCTAATAGCTAGGATTACAGGCACCCACCCCCACACCTGGCTACTTTCTGTATTTTTAGTAAAGACTGGGTTTCACTGTATTAGTCAGGCTGGTCTCAAACTCCTGACCTCAGGTGATCTACTTGCCTCGGCCTCCCAAAGTGGGGGAATTACTGGGGTGAGCCACCATGCGCAGCCCTAAAAGATTTTTAACTAAAGAACTTCTTAAGGTAACAAGCTTTCCTCAACTGTAGGTGTCACCTAAAAATATTCCTCATAGAATTGGAGGGAAAGACTCTTTCCTTCATTTGAAATGTGTTTGCCTTTCTGAAGGGCAGTTTGAAAATACATATTAAAATCTTAAAAGCATGTATTAAGAGGACACTCACTCTTAGACCCAGCAATTCTTTTTTTTTTTTTGAGGTGGAGTCTTGCTCTGACGCCAGACTGGAGTGTAGTGGCGTGGTCTTGGCTCACTGCAACCTCTGCCTCCTGGGTTCAAGTGATTCCCCTGCCTTACCCTCCTGAGTAGCTGGGACTGCAAGCGCATGCCACCACGCCCGGCTAATTTTTTGAATTTTAGTAGAGATGGGGTTTAACCATGTTGGCCAGGATGGCCTTGATCTCCTGACCTTGTGATCCACCTGCCTCAGCCTCCCAAAGTGATGGGATTACAGACATGAGCCACCACGCCCAGCCTAGCAATTCTAATTCTGAAAATTTGCTAAATAAATTAATTGAGGTGGTGTGGGAAGTTTTAGTCTCAAGGCTGTTTATCACAATGTTTGTAGTAATGAAAATTAGAAACAACCTTTATGTTCACACTGAGATAAAGATACAAAGAAAGAATAAAGAAACATTTATGTTCAAGAATAGGAGGACTAGTTGGATAAAATGATAGTCATGTGGTGGAATACTGTGGAACCATTATAAATTATTTAGAATTTTTAATTATAAAGAAAATTCCATGGCATGTTTATTAAGAAAAAGCAAGTGATCAAAATAGTATATAGACTGTGATTGCATTTTTATTTAGAGAAGAGGCTGGTTTGATTATAAGTTTATATCCATTTTTTTCTTTTTGCTTATCTATAACTTTTAATATTTTTATATTGACTATAATGCTTTGAAATTAAAAATAATATTTAAAACAAATATTTTAAATTTGTCTTATCTACAGGGAGATTCCATGGAGCTGGAAATATGGTGTCTTGAAATGAATGAAAAGTAAGTGCGGCATCTTAGGGTTCTTGGTTGTGGTTGCTGAGGATAAAGTAGATGACATCATGTGAAAAGCTGGGCTTTGTTTTGAGAGTCAGGGAGGGCATTCTGGCCACTTAACAAAGCCAACAGGTCTTTGCTGCAATTTGCTTCATGCTTGGCTTCCAGCCTAGACACAGAGATGACCTTCAGAGGGAACATCAGTCCAGCGAGACTCAGACACCACAGGGAAAGGAGCAGCAGAGAAAGCTGAAAGGGCTTTGTTGTTTTCCCAGAGTACAGCTAGTTCTCTGATTAAATCCCTCGCAAGCTCTTGTAATATGACTACTCTATTTTGTCTCTTTTCTGTGTGGCAGCCATCCAGTAAGATCTCCCCTCCTTGCTCCTTTTTACAGACTGTGTGGGGTCATGGATTAGAAATGCATGTTATTTCCTTCCCCCATTTTCATCTTTCAAGACAGATTAGTTTACCTCCTGCCTGAAGCTTCAGTTTTTAGGAAGAGTATATAGGAAAATTGAGGAAATAACACATCAGAAGAAAAATCTTAGTGATAAGTATGTGTGGTGGGCATTAATTTTCTTTTTTTTTTTTTTTTTTTCTTTTGAGACAGAGTTTCACTTGTTACCCAGGCTGGAGTGCAATGGCGTGATCTCAGCTCACCGCAACCTCCGCCTCCTGGGTTCAGGCAATTCTCCTGCCTCAGCCTCCTGAGTAGCTGGGATTATAGGCATGCGCCACCATGCCCAGCTAATTTTCTGTATTTTTAGTAGAGACAGGGTTTCACCATGTTGACCAGGATGGTCTCGATCTCTTGACCTCGTGATCTACCGGCCTCGGCCTCCCAAAGTGCTGGGATTACAGGCTTGAGCCACCGCGCCCGGCCCTAATTTTCTTTATTGAATACAATCCAGGCTGGGCATGGTGGCTCATGCCTGTAATCCCAGCACTTTGGGAGGCGAAGGCATGTGAATCACCTGAGGTCAGGAGTTTGAGACCAGCCTGGCCAACAGGGTGAAACCTTGACTCTACTAAAAATACAAAAAAATTAGCTGGACTTGGTGGCATACACCTGTAATCCCAGCTACTCCGGAGGCTGAGACTGGAGGATCTCTTGAACCTGAGAGGAGGAGGTTGCAGTGAGCTGAGAATGTGCCATTGCAGTACAGCCTGGGCAGCTGAGCGAGACTCCATCTAAAAAAAAAAAACAATGTAATTGCCAGGTTATGGCCCAAAATTACAGTACCAAGCTGACTTTTCTTCAGACTGCTGTTAGATTATTGAGATAGACAGCTCATAGGATAGTACATCTACACCTTCAGTATGTATAATTGCAATGTTTGTTTTCAGATGTGCTGCTTTATTTCTGGAAAAAACACACTGAAGCTAGAAAAAATATATTGAGTGCCTTTTGGTGCTCATGTGCTTATGTCTAGAACATGAGAAAGTAAACATTGGCTTACCTCAATACTCTGTTGATAAACATGTAATTAGAGTTCTCTGGGTAGTTGAGAACATGTCTTAATAATAAATTTGGTCTTGTGTAGCTCCAGTGCTTACTAGGAAATGCTGACCTTATCTTTGTGTCTGGCAGGTGTGATAAAGAAATCAAAGTTTCCTACACGGTGTACAACAGACTGTCATTGCTGCTGAAGTCTCTCCTTGCTATAACTAGGGTGACACCAGCCTACAGGCTCTCCAGAAAACAAGGGCATGAATATGTTATATTATACAGGTAAACAGCATAGATGACCATCTTAATTCACTTATCAGCCTCCTCACTTTGCACATTGACTGGCACTTAGGTGTTCTGTGATGATGTTTTTGACAGTTGTTTGGTTTTTTGGATTATTGATGCTGTTGCTTTCGTATGATCACTATCCAGCCTTCCTTGTGAACCTCATCCTTCCAAAGCCACCAAGTTTATTATCCTTTTCTCTATGCACAATCATGATTCCTGTGGAATGGATGTTGAGGTCCTCGTGATGAACATCTTAGAGCTAGAGAAGGAAGTCAAATCAAACAGTCTATACCGGGAAGATTCTACAGTCTTCTGTATTCCAGGGTTAAATTAAAACTTTTTGTCTAACTGCTAACTCAGTTTAAGTTTTTAATTAGTTATCTGTGGATATAAAGAACTGGTCAACAGAGTATTTTCTTTGGAGTATTTCACCTCAGCACATTTATTGAGTGCATTTTTAGTGCAAGCTTTGTGCTAGGATCACTGAAGAAATGTACAGAGGTCCAGCACTAGGAAAAAAGGTACTGAGAGAATATAGAAAGATAAAGTTTGTTCTGGTTGGTAAACAGTGCTGGTCTTAGGGAGGAAGTGGCATTTAAGCTGGCCCATTAGGGAAAGAGAATTTGAGCTGGTAGAAGTGAGGGAGAATAATCATTCCAGCTGGAGAGTTCAGCAGCTAGCAAGGCACAGAGGTGGAGTGCAGGGTAACAGCTCTGCTCAGATTGTCAGATGGACCAGAGTGCTGGAGTAGAGGGTATGTAGCAAAGTGTGAGAGAAGAGCTTGGAATGCCAGGGTCCCAAATCTACCAAAGATGCCTTTTTTTTTTGTATTTAGTGATGAGCCATTGGTTTTAGCCTTTGGCTTACACAGATAGAGCTGATTTTTAGACGAAATTATCACAAGATAGAGGGATCAAAGAGGAGAGACTTAACTAGTTTTGTTGAAACAATCCAGTACCTGAGAATAGTTGTCATTTCCTTTAACTTTCTTAGCAATATCCTCCTAGCAAGCCTAACCGTGTCTATTTTTCTAGGTCTTTAATAAATTTTTGCTGTCTTCTCTGTAGTCTTCTTCTGGTTTCAAGTTGTTTTATTTGAAAATTGCTAGACTTCTATTCAGATGTATTAGAAAGATACCCTACTAAAATCATCAACTTAGTTACCTAGGACTCCTAGTCTTTTTCATACCAGTGTTTAACGTGTCCTTTATCATGTATATCTGGAGTAATCATTATTGCTCTCAGGGGTCCGGAGCATGCCGGTAATCCCAACACTTTGAGAGGCTGAGGTGGGTGGTCACCTGAGGACAGTAGTTCGAGACAAGCCAGTCAACATAGCAAAATACTGTCTCTACTATGCAAAAAAATTAGCTGGGCAGGGTGGCACGCTCTTATAATCCCAGTTACTCAGGGCTGAGGCATAAAAATCTCTTGAATGTAAAAATCTCTTGATCGTACCACTGCATTCCAACATGGGTGACAGAGCAATACTGTGTCTCAAAAAAACCCAAATAAACCAGTATTGCTCACAGGATGTTGATGATTTAGGAGTGCTTTTGGATACAGATAACTGTAGCTTAGATCTAGAGAGGTGGGTAATCTCAGAGGTAGACTTGGTCCCCCTCTGAGAGGTGGACCCCCCCGCTTTTTATACTGTTGTTAGAAGGTTAACAGCCTGATGCCATTAAAGCATAGTCTTGGCCAAATGTAGTGGCCTGCATCTATAATCTCAGCACTTTGTGAGGCCAAGACAGGAGGATCACCTGAGGTCAGGAGTTTGAGACCAGACTGGACAACATAGTGAGACCTTGTCTCTACTAAAAATTTAAAAACCTAGCCAGGTGTGGTGTTACACACCTGTAGTCCCAGCTACTCAGGAGGCTGAGGGAGAATTGCTTGGATCCAGAAGGTTAAGGCTACAGTGAGCCATCACACCACTGCACTCCTGCCTGGGTGACACAGAGGGGGACCCTGTCTCAAAAATATATATATAGCCAAGAAAAAGTTTAGCAGATTTAAACACTGTATCAGTATTTACATGAATAGTGAATTGCCTAAGTCAGCTTTTTGTTAAAGGGTATTTACTTAGCAAGATCTCTTTTAGCAACACTCTATTAACATTGTTCCTGTATTACTTTATGGCAGGAGTCACTAAACTATGGTGAGCTGACCATCTGCTTGTTTTTATAAATAAAGTTTTTTTTTAGAACATAGCCACCGCATTTGTTTACATATTGTCTATGGCCACTTTTGTAATACAACAGAAATCTGAGTAGTTGTTACACCCTACCTATATGGCCCACAATCCTAAAATATTTACTGTTTGGTCTTTGGCAGAAAGGTTTGCTGATCCCTGCTTGTTAGTATCTTTTGTCTATCTGATCTGTAGTTAATTTTGGGCTTGTATTTCAGATATTTATATACATTTATTTTCTTTTCTCTCTCCCTTTTTTTTTTTTTTTTTTTTTGAGATGGAGCCTTACTCTGTCATCTAGGCTGGAGTGCAGTGGCACAATCTTGGCTCACTACAACCTCCGCCTCCTAGGTTCAAGCAGTTCTTTTGCCTCAGCCTCTTGAGTAGCTGAGATTATAGGTATACACCATCATGGCTGGCTGATTTTTCTATTTTTATTAGAGACAGGGTTTCACTATGCTGGCCAGGCTGGTTTCGAACTCCTGACTTCAAGTGATCTGTCACTTTGACCTCCCAGAATGCTGAGATTGCAGATGTGATCCATTGCATTCGGCTACATTTCTTTTCTGTCCACAAGACTGTAGTCGTTAAGACCTAGGATTCATATTTATCTTTATTTCCTTCCTAACATCTAACCATGAAGCTTCATACATTGCTGGAGCTTAGTATTTATTGAATAAACCCATATATATTATATTTATTTTATTTTATTTTATTTTTGAGATGGAGTTTCTATCTTGTTGCCCAGGCTGGAGTACAATGGTACAATCTCAGCTCAGTGCAACCTCCACCTCCTGGGTTCAAGCGATTCTCCTGCCTCAGCCTTCCTAGTAGCTGGGATTACAGGCACCCACCACCATGCCCAGCTAAGTGTTTGTATTTTGAATAGAGACAGGGTTTCACTATGTTGGCCAGCTGAGCTCGAACTCATGACCTCAGGTGATCCACCTGCCTCAGCCTCCCAAAGAGCTGGGACTACAGGCGTGAGCTACTGTACCCAGCTTATATTTAATTTTTATCAATATTACTTGAAAAATATGAAAACAGATTTTAGGTGTTTTTAATTCAAACTTTTTGCTAATATAGACTGGCCTGTCCAGGAAGACTCATAGAAGGTTCCACTCATGTTTATGTTTTTATTTTTTTCAGAATAGTCTTACCTAGTTAATTATTCCATAGTGGAAAAGATTTTCTACTTTGTTAAGCCATTTACTTAGAGATTTCTCCAAGACCAGGCACAGTGGCTCATGCCTATAATCCCAGCACTTCTGAGGCTGAGGATTGCTTGAGCCCAGGAGTTCAAGACCAGTTGGGCAACATGGCAAGACCCTATCGCTACTATTTTAAAAATGATATGTATATAAAAAAGAGAGTTCCCCACAACTGAAGACCACTTACCAAACCCTAGTACATTCTGGCCAGGTATGGTGGCGCATGCCTGTGATCCAAGCACTTTGGTAGGCTGAATTGGGAAAATAATTTGAAGCCACAACCAGGGATAGTAGCTCACACCTGTAATCCCAGCATTTTGGGAGGCTTAGGTGGAAGAATCTCTTGGGCTCAGGAGTTCGATACCAGCATGGGTGACACACTGAAACCCTGTCTATACTAGAAATAAAAAAAGTTAGCTGGGTGTGGTGGTACATGCCTGTAGTCCAGCTACATAGGAGGCTGAAGTGAGAAGATCTCTGGAGCCTAGGAGGTCGAGGCTGCAGTGAGCTGTGATCATACCACTGCATACCAGCATGGGCAACATGCTGAGACGCTGTTTAAAAAAAACAAAAATACAATTGAGAGCCGGGTGTAGTGGCTCGCACCTATAATCCCAGCACTTTGGGAGGCTGAGGCAGGCAGATTACTTGAGGTTGGGAGTTCAAAACCAGCCTGACCAGCATGGAGAAACCCCATCTCTACTAAAAAATACAAAAGTAGCCAGGCCTGGTAGTACATGCCTGTAATCCCAGCTACTCGGCAGGAGGCTGAGGCAGGAGAATCGCTTGAACCTGGGAGGCAGAGGTTGCACTCCAGCCTGTCCAACAGGAGCAAAACTCCGTCTCAAAACAAAACAAAAAAAAACAATTTAGGCCGGAGTTTGTGACCAGCCTGGGGTACATAGTGAGACCCTGTCTTTACAAAAAAATTACTTTTAAAAAAACCCAGGCCAGGTGCAGTGGCTCATGCCTGTAATCCCAGCACCTTCGGAGGCCAAGGTGGGTGGATCACGAGGTCAGGAGTTCAAGACCAGCCTGACCAACATGGTGAAACCCTGTCTCTTCTAAAAGTACAAAAGGTAGCCAGGCTTGGTGGTGCACACCTGTAGTCCCAGCTACTCAGGAGGCTGAGGCAGGAGAGTTGCTTGAACCCAGAAGGCAGAGGTTGCAGTGCCCAAGATTGTACCACTGAACTCCAGCCTGGGCAACAGAGCAAGACACTATCTCAAAAAAAAAAAGAAAAAAAACTGGTGCCTTCTAGAAGCAACACTAGACTTATTGGTCACTCTTATATATATATTATTTATTTCTCAGTAGATACAATTTAAAATATGTTGTAGAAACAGAAGAAGCTTAAATAGCAGTTTCCATTTAATTATTATTTTCCTCATTTATTTTTTTTGAGACCAGGTCTTACTCCTGTTGCCCAGGCTGGAAGGCAGTGGTACATTCTTGGCTCACTGCAGCATTGACTTCCTGGTCTCAGGTGATCCTCCCACCTCAGCCTTCCAGGTATCTGGGACTACAGGCATGCACCATCACACCTGGCAAATTCATTTTTTGCAGATGCAGGGTCTTGATATGTTGCCCAGGCTGGTCTTGAACTCCTGGTCTCAAGTGATCCTCCAGCTTCTGTAGCAGGATTGGCAGTGAACAAATCTCTTGAACACCGAACTGAGAAAGAAAGTGGCTTTTTATTCAGCTGTGGGAGGCTAATGCCTTGACCACTGAGTTCCTGGTGAAGCATCTCCTTTTTTTTTTTATAGGCTTACAATGCTAAAGGGGAAACTGAGGCAAAACTTTTATTGTCCATTGGCTGGACATTTGACCTCACAACCTTTGACTCATTGATTTGCTAGTTCATATGCAGCATGAGTGGGAACAGGCAGGGCAGGGGGCTTATAGAGACAAGACAAAGGCAGTAAATCATTAATTGGCAGAGGTATTTCCAGGCGGGGGCCTGGGTCATGCAAACATGGAGGACATGACCCAGTGCCTGGATCTGGCCAGTAGTGATAACATTCTTTGTAACTCTTTCAAGGCTTATAGATAGCAGAGAGGATGGGAACCGAAAAGGGAGTCATCTTCCCATTCCTTGGGCCTCTTTATGGCCTGGTCAGTGGCGTCAGCAAGTCGTCTCACCACCGATTCAAGCTCTTTGGTATTTTCCCTTTTTCACTCTCCTTTACATCCAGAGGTGAGGAGGAGGTGGAGGCCAGGAAGCAGGAGGAGAGGAGGGGGTCTCCCCTCCCACCTCAGCCTCCAAAAATACTGGGATCACAAGCTTAAGCCATTTTGCTTGGCCTTATTTTTTTTATTTTTTAACCAACCCACTCTGTATACATCTCCATGCCTGCAGCTTAATTGGAGAAGTAGGAATTATTAATGCTTCATCAGGAGAGGTGTTTGTGCAGATGAGTAAAGAAGGCTTTGTTTTGTTTATTTTGTTTCTAGGTGTTTGGGCTATAGAGGCGTTTAGGAGTAAAGAATCAGGTAACATTTCTTATTTTTTCTTCCATACAGGATATATTTTGGGGAAGTTCAGCTGACTGGCTTAGGAGAAGGTATGTATCAAGGTTGAAAAACATTTGTTGTGTTCAGAGCTCTCGTAACTTCAGAGATGAGTTTGGTTTCTACTTGTTATAATATGTAGGTGGTTGTCTTAATATGCATAATACAAGTAAAGAAAAGATAAGAATGCAGGTAGGTGGTCCAAGCATCTGCCAGGGGTAATCAAATAATTTTTCCCAAAGTTCCAGGAACTCAGTCTTCTTTCCTACGCTTTATAAAACTGTCTATTTTCCTAATTTTCTACAATGAGGAAGGGAAATGTTTCTGATGAACACCAAGAATTTTGAAAAAATGGAAATGAAACCAAGGAAATCAGGAAAGCTTTATTGAAAGTGCCACTTGCAAGGCCATGGGTCTTTACTTAGCTCTGGAGTGGCAGCTTGGGGGAAGGCAGTTATTTCTGAAATTGAGATGTTTGTGTGACATTCTAGTGCTCCTTCACTGTCTTTTTTAGCATGTGATGTGTCTTTGCAGGGCTGGTTAGTAGAACTTGGTCCGGCTTTAAGACTAACAGTTATATTATCTCTTGGAAGGTAGGTTTATCTGTAAACAGAGTGCTATTTCCCCTGCCAATATTGGCCCAATACATAGAAAGAAACCTATATATACACCTGCATATACACACAAAATTGAGGCTTCTGCACGTAATGTGCTAAGTGGATAATGCCAGAGATCATACAGTAGGCCAAATAATTCAGGAAAAGGCATTCTCTGGGCAATATCAGTGTTCTCTGCAAAAAAAGTTAATAATGTATCTCTTCTCCTAGGCTTCCAGACAGTTCGTGTTGGGACAGTGGGCACTCCTGTGGGCACCATCACTCTTTCTTGTGCTTACAGAATTAACTTGGCCTTCATGTCTACCAGGTGAGGAAGAGCGAAAGAATCCGAAAGAAATCTTCCAAAGATGTTAATGTGTTTTTTCTCCTAAACTTCAAGACTAAATCTACAATTCAGCTTTGCTGAAAGCAGTGCCTTCAGAAGAATAAAGTCAAGAAAGAGAGAACACAGTTGCCAGATTGGAGAATTTGAGTGTCCCAGAGCCAATTTGTGCAGAACATAGGATTGGTGGTTTATATATAGGGATTGTGATAGCTAAAGCTCTGGTAGTGCCTGCCAACAGATGTAAGGTGAGGGGCCCTCTGAGGACTTTGTGGGGGATGGAAAGGCATTCTAACAAATATTGGAATCTGCTTATTGTATTACAGGCAATTTGAGAGGACCCCACCTATCATGGGGATTATTATTGATCACTTTGTGGACCGTCCCTATCCCAGCTCCTCTCCCATGCACCCCTGCAATTACAGGTGAGGAAAGTGAAAAGGTGCTCTCCAAAACTGCAGCTGGGCAGAAGCATCCATCCTGCACAGGTGCACAGAACACCTTTCTCAGCACTCACTCTCCAATGGGCCGGGGGGTCACTGATGGAGACCCCACATGGAGATAAATCAAATGGGCCAGTTTCCCTTCTTTCTGCTCCCTCTTAGGTACACCAAGACTTAGGGCATACAGACTGTCTCAGTATTCTTGGGATATTTTGGATCTTGATGTTAGTGATAAGACTTTTCTTTGTGAAACCCCATCTCTACTAAAAATACAAAAATTAGCTGGGCACGCCAGCTTATGCCTGTAATCCCAGCTACTTAGGAGGCTGAGGCAGGAGAATTACTTGAACCTGGGAGGCAAAGGTTCCAGTGATCCAAGATTGCGCCACTGCACTCCAGCCTGTGCTACAGAGTGAGACTCCATCTCAAAACAAACAAACAAAGACTTTTCTCAGTTACAAGTTACTTAGAGCTTTAGAAGAATGGCAATGATTTGTGGAATATCCTTGGCAAATTAATTAATTGGTTTTCAGGTTGCCATCTAGCACATTAGTTTTATATCAGAATAACGTGTTTCTAGGTCTGGAACTCAGAAAATAGAATTCTCTAAGCATTGGAATAGATGTGTATCAGTATGTGATAGACTTGTGAAATTGAATAGCTTGTCTTTAGGGTTTAGTTACTTGTTTTATGGAGTCTCTATTACTGATAATTCTTTGAAAACCCAGATCCACCACTGGCCTTGCTTAAGAAAATGCTCTCAGGCCAGGTATGTTGGGTAGTGCCTGTAATCCCAATACTTTGGGAGGCTTAGATGGGTGGATTTCTCAAGTCCAGCAGTTCAAGATCAGCCCGGGCAACATGGCGAAACACCATCTCTACTAATTTAAAAAAAAAAAATGCTCTCTCAAATAATAGGTCAGGTAAGAAGTTTGCATTTAAAAAACAAAACAGGCTGGATGTGGTGGCTCACACCTGTAATCCCAGCACTCTGGGAGGCCAAAGCAGGAGGATTGCTTGAGCTTAGGAATGCAAGACCAGCCTGGGTAACATAGGGGGACCCCTGTCTCTACAAAAAAAATTAAAAGTTAGCTGAGCGTGGTGGCACGTTTCTGTAGTCCCAGCTACTAGGGCAGCTGAAGCAGGAGGATCGTTTGAGCCTGGGAAGGTTGCAGTGAGCCATGCCACAGCACTCTAGCCTGGGTGAGAGTGAGACCTGTCTCAAAAAAAAAAAACAAGAACAAAACATGTCAAACCTCTGAATGCTACTCTCTGGAATGTTTGAAATTATTGAGGACTCCACGTGCCTCTCTTGCCAGTATGAACTGTGTGAAATAGTTCTTAGTACAACTCCCATCCTTATCTAATCGCCTTTTGAAGCCTTTCTGAAACTGACTTCCACCACCATAAAATTCATTATTTCCTTTTTTTCACTTTAGAACTGCTGGTGAGGACACTGGAGTAACATATCCATCTGTAGAAGACTCCCAAGAAGTGTGTACCACCTCTTTTTCCACCTCCCCTCCATCACAGGTAAGGGGGTGCAGGTCTCGGGGGGTGGTGGTGGTTTGGTATATATATAGGCTTTATAAAATGGTGTCCACATTTGGCTACAATCCCTTTTGGTAGTGGTGGTGATTGTTAAAGGGATTACTTTGAGGGTTAAGAGACAGCCTTCTTATCCAGAAGATGGTATTTCTAGTCTGTAATTATTCATAACCTTCAGGGTTACATTTAGCTTTTACCTTCCTGGTGACATCTTAAAATTCCCTACAACATCAAGTCACAGCATTCCAGATGCATTCTGACACCAGAGATTTACTTTAACCTATGCTTGTTAACTTCCTAGCTACTTCTCTATTGAGTAGTAAATTTCATTTATAATAATGAAAGGGCCCCCAAAGAGCCAAAAGTTATTTAGCGTAAAATGCCAGGGAGAAACCAGTAAGTATAGTTTTTCTTTTCTTTTTTGAGACGGAGTTTCGCTGTTGTTACCCAGGCTGGAGTGCAATGGCAGGATCTTGGCTCACCGCAACCTCCGCCTCCTGGGTTCAAGCAATTCTCCTGCCTCAGCCTCCCGAGTACCTGGGACTACAGGCGTGCACCACAATACCCAGCTAATTTTTGTATTTTTAGTAGAGACGGGGTTTCACCTCGTTGACCAGGATGGTCTTGATCTCTTGACCTTGTGATCCACCCGTCTCGGCCTCCCAAAGTGCTGGGATTATAGGTGTGAGCCACCGCGCCCGGCCAGTTTTTCTTTATACTTGACACAGTTTTCTGCCTGTGTGTATTCTCTAGCCAGGCGTTTTTAACTATTAACTTTCCACTTCAGTCAGTCTTCAGTGACAAACCCAGTTTCATAAAACACAGGCTCCAAACACTGTCGTCAGCTTCCCCAGAGAGAGCACCCCTGTGGTCTTGTTGTGTAATGTGTGTGGTGCCAAGGCTGCTTTCACTGCAGTCATTTTTGCAGCTGGCTGAATTGCAGGAGCATGTTTCTTGCCTTCCACCTCAAGTCACACATTCCCAGCCTCCTTGCCTCCAGATTCCCCTTCTGGCTGCATCGTCTTCATTATTGCCTTCCTCTTTGACTTTCACATTAGATAGTTTCTTCTAGACCTACTTCAGTTCTCTATTCCTTTAAATCAGCCCCAGATTCTCCCAGTTCAACTTCTTCTTTGGAGGACCAGACAAATTTATTAGCTGTTCATGTGTTTTTATTTTCTGTGTTTTTTTGTTTGTTTCAATTTTTCTTCATACCTTTTTTTTTTTTTATTTGAAGCCGTTCTCACTCTGTTACTCAGGCTGAAGTGTAGTGGTGCCATCATGGCTCACTGCAGCCTAGACCTCCCAGGCTCAGGTAATCCTCCCACCTCAACCTCCTGAGTATCTGGGACTACAGGTATATGCCACCATGCCCAGCTAATTTTTTGAATTTTCTGTAGAGATGGGGTTTTGCTGTGCTGCCCAGGCTGTCTGTACCAAAAATAAAAAAATTGGCCAGGTGTTGTGGTACAAACCTGTAGTTGCGGCTCCTTAGGAGGCTGATCTGGGAGGATCGCCTGAGCCTGGGAGGTCAAAGCTGAAGTGACCCGAGATCACACCACTGCACTCCAGCCTGAATGACAGAGTGAGATCCTGTCTAAAAAAAAAATAATGAAATAAAGTCAGAGTTGTAATGTGTTTCAAAAGCAGGAGTTAATGTCTGTGAATGGTGATGTAAAATCTGTTATCCTAGCTTGTTTAGGGTGAAAGAGATTCTTGTTCTAAAGTTGCCAAAACGGTTTAGTTTTGGGGTTTCAGAATTGTCCTTCCCCTGCTGCTTTCATGTTAGCATTGATCTCATCGGGGGAGCTGCTTGTATACTTACTGACACAGAGAAGCACTGACAAAAAAAGCAGACAAAGAGACAAAGACCTGCTTTCTTCCTAGTGTACATTAACGGAAACAGGGTGGGTTTTTTTTAGGTAATTAAGTTGTAGATATGTTGAGGTTTTTTTTTTTTTATTTTTATTTTTATAAGCTCATCCCAGCTGTTCTAAAAGAGATGTCAAATTTAAGTTTCAATAAGCAGTTCTGTTTCACAAGTAATAGATTCATAAATAATAAAGTTGTGACTTGTGAGATATGAGGGATGGTGAGACTGGGCCTTACTGATTAGTCTATCTCTTTCTCAGGTACAATGGGAAGTTGAACCTGAAAGTAAATGTTTATTTAGTAGCTTCTGCAACTGATGTTTGCATCAAAGTTTGCATGCCTTTGTGACTAGAGGCTTTTTCATGGTAACTGTCTCCGAATGTGTCTTATCACAGTTTAAAACTAGATCACACCAAGTTCTTATCAGTCGTCTGCACTCCATAAGTGAGGCCTGTCATTACTCCTTGGGGACCTCTGATCAAGGCTGGTACAGTTTGGTACAAAAATAGTCCATTTTGAACCTAGTTTCTCTCAGTGGTAGAGAGACAATCATTTGCTGTCATTTCTCCTCATTCCTGTTAAATGTTGAAGTAGTATTTTTCTTAGTGACTTGCATAATTACTCAACTTAGCAATTTCTATTGGAGCTTTTGCTGAAGTCCAGTAAATATATGTCAATGTGATGTTGTTGGTTTTGCCAACAGTATGAAGATCATTGTGCCATTTGGGCACAGAATTAAGTCTAGAAATGAACCTACTGTGGCCTGAGGTCCTGCCTCCAGTTCTAAGAATTAATTAGCTAACTGGTCAGGTCTAAAATGGAACAGCAAGACCCAAAATAATCATCATGACCATAAGCATTATGCCCTTAAGTAGCTTTGAAATCATAAGAGTTTTCAACATGCCCCAGCTTTTACTCTATCAAGTTCACCTACGCCAGCAGGGACTGTAAGAACGCACACACACACCCCTGTACACCCACTGTCTTCCCTGGAATGACGTAGAAAAGCGTGCATCTGAGCTTCTTAAAGTTCCAGCCAACAAATGTCAGTTGTTTGAAACTATCCTGCAGATTCTGGGTTTCCTGAAAAAGGCTTTCAGTTGAACATTACAGGCCCTGCATCCTTATCCATCTTCAGCACACCTTGCATCTGCAGTCAGGCCCTTCTGTTGGAAGCTGCTATCTGACTTCCTCTCTTTTTTGAGCAGAGACAGATTAATGCTTGGCTCAGGTTTCTCTGTTTGGTCGAGTTTTAGCCAGCTCACCTCAGCTTTGTTTTCTAGCTGTTCGTCAGGGAGACAGGCATGCATGAAATGCCCTGAAGTAAACATCACTCTAGGACCTTCCAAGTTGTCCCTTTAGAAAGACAGCCCCACGCCCTCACCTGCTTCACTCCTGACTCTAGTGTTGGTTCCAGCCTTTCTTGTTACTGCTCCTTTGAGAGTTTTTTCACTTCTTTCTCAAGCCCCTTTTCTTTTTTTCTTGTTTCTCCTGTCTCCGTGTGTGTCTGTGCACAGTGTGTGTTTACTGTCACAAAGGCACATTTTCAGACCCCTACTCCTGTGGTGACGGATACCCTGAGGGTCCCCATGGCAGGACTGGCCTTTTCCCATCAAGTGAGTCCATAATGGGAAGAAGGGGATATAATCAGATGGCATCCTTTTATTTTAAATTGTAAATAAATTACAGGGTATAGTTATTTAAATGTCCTGAGTGTTCTGTGGGATTATTTTGAGGCTTGGTAATAGATTTTAATAGGACACAGCCACAGCCCAGCAGCCCAAAATAGGGAATTTTCATCTGCCCCTCCTCCTACCATTGATGTGAAAAATACATGGAGTTATTTATATCAGATTTTTAAATAAACAACTCAAGACTGGTATTCTTTCTTTTTTCAATATAAATAGCAATATTCCCATCTCCAGGGGTGATGGAAGGTGTGATTAGAGAAGATGGCTTTCTGTTTCAAAGGTACCTCAGGACAAAGGAGAAAATAGAATGACTTTGGAGAACCTGATGACTTTGGCTGCAAGTTCTGTCCAGGCTTATGCTCCACACATCTGCTGGGCTTAGTACTGAAACAGTTAGCTCAGCCCCTGGGAAAACGGGGAGCAAGAAACTTATTTCAGGCCTTTGGGAGGCTCCACAGCTTGTAATCCCTATCCCAGTACAAACAAGTCTGTGTTTTCTTCTCTGATAACTGAATGGCCTGGTCTCTCCCTAACCCTTATCATGTCAGGCCCCCTGCAATGTGGGCATGTGGGCGGGAGCCATTCCTTACCTCTCTACTGAGCCCTCCTCTCTGGGATTGCCTGTTTTTCCTTGCCTTTCCTCTTCCCCTCTTTGTTTTTCTCTTGCTTAGCTCTCAAGCTCTCGCCTTTCCTATCAGCCTACTGCCCTGGGCGTTGGATCAGCTGACCTGGCTTATCCAGTAGTGTTTGCTGCTGGCTTAAATGCTACACACCCTCACCAGGTATCTTTAGAGATGGGAGGACCATGGGTTTCCAGTGCTGCCTGCCCTACCCGGAGGCAATTAAGGGCTGTCTCAAGGCTGACGTGTTCTAAGTGCTATATTCTGAAGCAAAACTCTTTTGTAACTTCAGAGACCTAAAGTGACTCTCTGAGAGGAAGGAGCCTCTTAGGCTTCAGAAAGGAAAGAAGACTTCTCAAGGATTTTTCTCCCTCTTTCCTTTTTCCTCTGTAGTCATTACCATGCATGTCTTCCCTCCCTTAACTGAGTTTCAGAGAGGATAAAGGTCAAGGGATTACTGCCCGCTTGGTGGCAGCATTGGTAATGGAAAACTTAAAATCAGATACTATCATGCTAGAATGTGAGGTTCTCCTCTTGCCTGGCATGCCATGATTCACTGTCTCTTTCCATTTTTCCCCAAAGCTGTTGGTTCCTGGGAAGGAAGGTGGGGTACCCCTTGCTCCCAACCAGCCTGTCCATGGTGCCCAGGCTGACCAGGAGAGACTGGCAACCTGCACCCCTTCTGATGGAACCCACTGTGCTGCCACACCCTCCAGTAGGTGAGTTCACATTTTGGCTCTGTCTCTGCTAAGGCTGGCCAGGGGCCTTGGCTCCCTGACACACGTGCTTATTTGGTATCAGTAAAGAGTAGCTTTCAGCATTGGCTGGGGTATGGCATTTGTGCCCAAAGCATGGACTTCTGACTGGGAGTGGTGGTTCACACCTATAATCCCAGCACTTTGGGAGGCCAAGGTGGGAGGATTGCTTGAGGCCAGGATTTTGAGACTAACTAGGCCAATGTAGTGAGACTATCTCTCAAAAAATTTTTTCCCTTTTTTTTTTTCTTTTGAGACAGAGTCTCACTCCCTTGCCCAGGCTGGAGTGCAGTGGTGCAGACTCGGTTCACTGCAACCTCCACCTCCCAGGTTCAATGATTCTCCTGCCTCAGCCTCCTGAGTAGCTGGGATTACAGGCGCCCGCCACCATGCCTAGCTAATTTTTATATTTTTAGTACAGACAGGGTTTCACCATGTTGGCCAGGCTGGTCTCAAACTCCGGACCTCAAATGATCCACCCACCTTGGCCTCCCAAAGTGCTGGGATTACAGGCATGAACCACCACACCCAGCCTCAAAACTATTTTTAAAAAAAGAAAGAGAAAAACAGTGTGGACTCCTTGAAGTTCCCTGATAAGAATCTGATACATCTGCTGGGATAGAAGGAAGCTGGCCTGGAGCTTCACTACTAACAGGAAACAGCAGGAGCTTGATTCTTGTTACCCTTATCCAGTAAAGGGGTTGTCAGATGTTTTTCTCTTACTCCAAGATTTGTGTCCTTGGAATCAATCCTTAGTGTTTCCCAAGGACCAGAACAGGGTGTTGACCATAGCCCTGAAGTCTGGACCACAATGTGTCTGTGTTGTAGTTGGGAATTGATCTTTTTCTGCTGTGTTAGAGCCTGGTGGAGAGCCTTTGGAACAACTGTTTTCCTCATTAAAAAAAAATGTAAATCTTTGTCTTTTCTGATTACTGAAGTGACACATTCTATAAGACTCAAATCCTGAAAACATTAGATAAGAAGTGAACGTTCTCATATTCCCACCACTGTTGCCTGCTTTTTCAGAAGGGTTAAATGATTGGCCTGAGCTCACTTAGCTCACAGGACAGGAAGGCGAGCAGATTCTCTGACTCCAGAACACCAGCCCTTCTTTCCAAGATGCTCCCACTCTCCCTGGGGAGCCACGGACTGTTTTGACCTGCCCTACCCTCCCTTGATTTTGAAGGCCTTCGAGATAATGAGATGACTTTGCCCCCTCACATTCTAAATGAACTTTCACATGATAGGAATTCCTTATTTATTTATTTATTTATTTATTTTCATTCCCACGGTAAAGTGGTAAAGTGGGAGGGAAGTCATTTAGAAAGCCTTTTTTTTTTTTTCTGGCATCCATCAGGAAAAATAATTTATGTCATTCCTAGCTTCTCAAACTTCCATCCTCTCCCTTTCTCCCTCTGTTAGATGATCAAAGGCATTTTGTATTCTAGTTTTTTGAGCCTTGACTCTGGGACATGTCCAGGAGTAGCTAAAGACAGAGGCCCCTGTGTGGGAGTTCTTAAATACAGGTTAAGAGCTCAAAAGCCTTTGCGCAGTGTGGCTCCTCCCTTCTGGCTGGAGTCCAGGGGCCACTTGACTGCACAACCCTCCTACCCACCTTGAACCCCTGTTTTTGGCCAGAGGACTTTTCCTAACCCTTGCTGCTTGTAGGACTGTGACTGCTGGTTTGGCAGCCACAACCACGGGTCCCCACTTTTGCTGCTTAGAGCCCCTTGTGCAGGACTCAGTATCAGTCTGAAGGGCTGGGAAGGAGGGAGTGGGAGCAGCCAAATTAAATGTCATTCAAAGATTTTTGTTAAGGGAGGGATGACTGGGGCAAGGAGAGGGGAGAGGGGAGGAAACATGGCAGGGAGCCGAGAGAACCTTAGCCCAGGCAGTTTGTCAAGGGTGAAGAGAGCTCTGGCTGACTAAGGAATCAAATTTGGAACCAAAGAAGAAGAAAAGCTAAAAATTTGGGGTCTGGCTATTGTAATACATAAATATTAAAACTACAGTTGTTTATGAGAGTTGCTTGCCTGGATCTATGACTGCTATATGCATGGTAACTCATATTTATCATCGGTCTTTTCGGCTGTATTTTAAGTTTTGCACAATTATAACACTGAGCTTCATTCACCTATGTAAAACTTTTAGTAGTTCCAGGAAGTGCAGCCCTCTGCAATCAACTTAAAAGGCAGGGTGATCCTGGCATCAGCCAGGCCACATAATGCCATCTCCCATTGGTTGGGCCAGTGGGGGCCAACTCCTATCCTAGGCCATAGCCCCACCAGATGGTGGATTTATAGGGTACTAAGTCGCTCTGCTACGGTTTGAGGAGTACTAACTTTAACCTTTCTTCTCCAGTGAGGATACTGAAACCGTATCAAACAGCAGCGAGGGACGGGCCTCCCCACACGATGTCTTGGAGACAATCTTTGTCCGAAAAGTGGGGGCTTTTGTCAACAAACCCATTAACCAGGTGATTTTTCTGCTACTGCCACCTGTGAGAATGTCTGAGTTCTTAGAGTAAGGCCCCACAGTGTTCTTCACCTGAGATACTATTATATATGAAACTACTGAACTGGCATGCAAAATTGTATCTGTGTGTAAATTTCTCTGTGAAGAAGATTAATAACCTGTGCCACCCCTCTATAATAAGTCAAGACCTATTCTTCTGTGACCTTTTAAAGCCTCGTACAAGAAAGGGAGAGTAGACGTAGATACCATTTAGTACAAAAACACTACACTCTGTCATTGGCTTAGCCTTGTTTGAACTGAACTAGGAGGTTCCTCCTCAGCAGGGCCAGTGAAGTACATTATTACTGCATTACTGTGGATCAAGCTTCCAAAGCTGAATTCCCAGGGTCCTCAGGAACCCAGCCCTTGTTTTTTTTTTTTTTTTTTAGTTTTTTGGGTTTTTTTTTGAGACTTTGAGACGGGGTCTTGCTCTTGTTGCCCAGGCTGGAGTGCAATGGCACAATCTCGGCTCACTGCAGCCTCCGCCTTCTGGGTTCAAGCGATTCTCCTGCCTCATCCTCTCAAGTAGCTGAGATTAGAGGCATGTGCCACCACGCCTGGCTAATTTTTTGTATTTCTGGTAGAGACGGGGTTTTGCCAGGCAGGTGTTGGCCAGGCTGGTCTTGAACTCCTGACCTCGTGATCTGCCCGCCTCAGCCTCCCAAAGTGCGGGTATTACACCAGCCCTTGTTTATGCTGTGGGTGTATGTGTTGGGGGGGACAGGGAGGTAAGGGAGCTTGGGGAGCGTCTAACAAGGCAGCAGCCTAAGGGGCAGCATGGTCAGCCTAGGTGTGCGAACTTGCTGGACCTCTAGGCTTCTGGCAGCCTGGAAGGAAGCAGGAACGCTGCAGGAGGGGCAGGCATGAGCGCTTTTCTCCTGTGTCTCTTCAGGTGACCCTGACGAGTTTGGATATACCCTTCGCCATGTTTGCTCCCAAGAATTTGGAGCTGGAGGATACTGATCCAATGGTGAGCTCACCATTGACTACCAGATCCCAGTAGATGGTATAATAGTCATTGTCCTTCCTGGGCCAGAGTCACTAATCCTCCACAGACTATAAACCATGGCCCCTTAGCTTATGGATTTGTAGCCAGCATTAAGTTCTTCCCAGAATTTTCAGATTGTTTACAGTAAGTTGAATCTGGGTCACAGCGTCAGCCCTAACCTGCCTTACTATGAAACAGGTGAATCCTCCAGATTCCCCAGACACTGAATCTCCTCTCCAGGGCAGCCTGCACTCAGATGGCTCCAGCGGGGGCAGCAGTGGCAATACCCATGATGACTTCGTTATGATAGATTTTGTAAGTCGCCATCACCTTTCTTGACCTTTGCTGTGCTGGGGAGCTAGACCTAGAAGCATCTACTGTACCTGACCCAGATTTCCTTCATAGGGATTTGATGTACTGGTGTAGTCAGAGAGGCTGGACAGCTGGACCCTGGTCTGGGGAGCCATTTTGGAGGCCCATAAACAACAAGGCATTTTGTGTCATGCCCTTGGTTAAAATTCATAATGAAATTCAACTCTTAAATGGAGATTTTCCACTGATACTCTTTTAGGTCTTATTTGTGCCTAGGCAAGGTGTTTGAAGGAAGGGGATGTAAACCCAACCAGTGGAAAGGAATATTATCAGCAGCATTAGAAGTGAACAGTCTGATTAGCCGGGTGTGGTGGCAGGTGCCTGTAATCCCAGCTACTCGGGAGGCTGAGGCAGGAGAATCGCTTGAACTCAGGCTGCAGAGGTTGCAATGAGCCGAGATCACGCCACTGCACAGAGTGAGACCCTCTCTCAAAAAAGGGGTGGAGGGCTGAGAAGTGAAAAATCTGGAAGAGAGAAGTATAAAGACTCCTATCCCTAAGATAAGGCTGAAGAACCTTTCCTTGGATAATTGCTAGAAGGAAAGAGACTTGTTCATAGCTTATCTCTTTAGTGGTTCAAAGCAAGCTAAACTGAGTCTGTCTTGTTTTTGAAGAAACCAGCTTTTTCTAAAGATGACATTCTTCCGATGGACCTGGGGACCTTCTATCGTGAGTTTCAGAATCCCCCTCAGCTGAGCAGCCTCTCCATAGATATTGGAGCGCAGTCCATGGCTGAAGACTTGGTATGGAAACCTCTTCCTCCACTGCAGTGCATCCTTATTTGGTGGTCATTTCTTTGCCACAGGCCTAGAAATTTCTTCCTGTTACTCCTCTGCATCCCCACACCACCTCCTATCTTCCCTGTAATAGGAAGGAGACATTTTGAGACCATTATCTTCTGATCACACTTGAGATTAGCATTGTGCCCAAGATTTGCATTGTGCCCGGCAGTCATTATCTGGAATTTGCTTGAGCTCAGTTCCACCTTTCTCTGCATTCTCAGCATTACTTACATGCTCCTGTTGTTCTGTTCCTGATGTCTTGTCCTTGCAAATGCCACTAGGCCAAGTTGCTCTCACAGCTTTTGCATTAACTATTTAGCTTGCCAGGCAAATGCCAGTGGTACTGGGCAGAGGAGAATGTGAAGTTCCAAGTGTCTGTGTTCTTGCCCTTTCATCAGAGAGCTCACTCCATCATCTAGCAATTCTCACTCTTGGCCAGATGTCCTGGTACCATAATGACCCCAGGTCTCTGCTTAGGGCATTTCCTTTGCCTGCCTCTGAGAGGCAGAAGAGTGCCCCACACAAGCCACAAACTCTGGGTGCCCTCTGCCAGGAGATATTCCTCTCTGAGGTGGAATGATCACCTCCTAAATAGATATTAAGACCCTGTGGTAGCCGCCTTGGATTTGCTTTAAGGAGAAAAGCATGCTCAGTAATAACAATACAGTAATAGCCAGGTGTGGTGGCCCACGCCTGTAATCCCAGCACTTTAGAAAGCTAACGCAGGCAGATCATGAGGTCAGGAGTTCGAGACTAGCCTGGCCAACATGGCGAAACCCTGTCTCTAAATACAAAAATTGGCAGGATGTGGCAGGCGCCTGTAATCTCAGCCACTCAGGAGGCTGAGGCAGGAGAATCACTTGAACCTGGGAGGCGGAGGTTGCAGTGAGCCAAGATTATACCACTGCACTCTAGCCTGGGTGACAGAGCGAGACTCTGTCTCAAAAAAAAAAAAGTAATAATTATTACCAAGGCTTTTGGGGCCAGGCACAGTGGCTCACGCCTGTAATCTCAGCACTTTGGGAGGCCAAGGAGGCTATCACTTGAACTCAGGAATTTAAGACCAGCCTGGGCAACATGTAAAACTCCGTTTCTACAAAAAATTAGCTGGGCATGGTGGCATGTGTCTGTAGTCCCTGTAATCTCAGCACTTTAGTAGGCTCTCACTTGAACTCAGGAGTTTAAGACCAGCCTGGGCAACATGGTGAAACCCTGTCTCTATAAAAAATTAGCTGGGCGTAGTGGCACACGTCTGTAGTCCCAGCTACTCCAGGAGGTGGAGGCAGGAGGATTGCTTGAGCTGGGGAGATCAGTGCTGCAGTGAGCCTTGTTTGCGCCACTGCTTACAGCCTGGGTGACAGGGTGAGGCCCTGTCTCAAAAAAAAAAAAAATCAAAGCTTTTTGAGTGCCAGGCATTTTTCTAAGTGTTTTACATGAATCTTCAACAGCCCTAAGAGGAAGATTTTCTTATCACAGTTTACAGATGAGAAAACCAATAATGATTAGCTTGCTATGGTCACACAGATCCAGGCAAAACAAAGCTTTGTTTGATTCTAGAGGAGCTGGCTCCTGAATTTAGTCTTTTAACCACTCAACTCCCCTGCCTATCATGACATGCACTTGGAAGGACGTTATGGCTCCAGTTCTCTCAGCTGATGCCACAGCCATTGCAAACCAATTCTGAGGCCTCTCTCTCCCTTCAGGAAGCTGCACCCAAACCACTCTCAGCTACTGGTGTGGCCAGGCCACATTATAAGCTCTGAGACAAGAGATTCTCCAGACTCCCTTGTGGTCGTGCTTAACCCCACGCTGTCAGGAAATTGTCCCAGTGAAACTCTGCAGATGCAGCTTCTCATTGAGTCATCAGTGGAGGCACATTTTTATTAATAGTTGATACTCTAGACAGTTAAATCTGACAGTTCTATTTTCCTTTGCTTCTCTCTTTACCATTCTCTCTCACCCTCTACTCAGCTAGTGTAAAGATACAGATTCCGAGGCCTTGCCACAGACCTGCTGTGTCAGAATTCTGGGACTGTTTCAGGGCCGCCTGGTTCACGTTCCCCCAGGGGGTCCTGATGCCCAGCAAAGGGTATGAAGAAATCTTTTGTAAACTCTGCTTAATTTGTAGAGCTGTACACTTGCTGTTTTATTCTAGTGTCGGTCTGATCTTTGCCAGGGATATTTCATGTTTAATTTTTGGGTCATCTTGCTCTTGTAGTCCTTTTCTCTCTCGTTAAGTTTGTGGCCTACTTGGACTCTCAAGGTTGTTCTGTTAACCCTGCAGCCCCTGCAGAGCCCTGATGGACATACCTCTCCCCATCCCGCGCCTGCACCGCTGCCCTGCGTTCTCCTGCTCGATCGGCCCAGTGAGGCTCAGCTGAGCTTTGTCTTGCTCGCTTCCTCCCCTCTCAGGGACTGGGCTGGCTGCCTCTTCAAGGCCCTGTCTGATAAGCAGCTCTTTCCTTTCTTCCTGGTACAGGACTCATTACCAGAGAAGCTGGCTGTGCATGAGAAGAATGTCCGTGAGTTTGATGCCTTTGTGGAAACCCTGCAGTAAAAGTATCCTCGAGTCCCAGCAGCACCCCCCTTTTTGTGGCCCCAGGGGACAGGCAGCCTCCCATGCACCAGCTGCTCCCACACCTCATCCTGCACCGAGCCAGGTGGAAGGGAGGTTGGCTTCTCCCATGGTGACCCAGAACTCCCTACTCGTGTACTCCTGGAGCCTCCGTGGCAGCAGTCAAGCCCAGTGTCCAGTTGGAGAAGACTTACGCTCTGGCCTTGAAGATGGGAAGACCCTTCATACAAAAGAGCCCTTAGCAGGGCCATCTGTGTGCCCCACCCATCACCAACTGCTTCCCAAGGACGGCATCCTATGCCTCCTGCCTGGGCCTGCCTTACAGCTGGCCCCTTCCCTGCCTGCTGTCACCATCCACTATTTGACATTTCAGCTGGTGGCCAAGAGATTGGTGTTGAGGCAGAAAGAGGAAGGGGACAGTGCCAAGAGGAGAAGGAAGGAGTCCCTTGGCTCTTATTGTCCCCTTTACTTTCTGCTATCTTCTTCCCCTCTTCCTCCCTCTCTGCCCCCATGCCTGTACTTCTAGCAATATGACAGGCCTGTCTGCCCAAGATGAGAACTCCAAAACTAGCCACTCCCACCCCTGAAGGTTGGGAGGGTCTGAGCAGCCCTGGTGGCTGCCCATGCTCAGGTCCTCAGCTACATGAGAAATAAAAATGGAACCCTGAATCTCTAGGATTCTGTTACTTGGAGTCATAGCAAAGGTTCTTTTCCTCTCGTCCCCCCGTTGCTGCTCCTTGGTTATAGAACACAGTAAATATTTATTACTTTCAGAGAAACCAGATATTTTATAAAGAAAATATGTTTGAGGTGAGTTGTTTTTCACTTGGAGAAGGTGGAGGGCTCTTCCTGGGACGGAGTCCTCCTCTGGAGGTTCTTGAGAATCCGGGCTGCTGCTGCAAGGATCTGCCTTCCCACCATACAGACAGCGAGATCCAAGAAGAGGGCTGACCGGGAGCAAAGTCAGCTCCCAGCATGGCTGCACTGAAACTGACTACAGGCTTTACCTTGGACAGCTGAGTATTCCTGGTGAGCCTTACATCTCTGACAGCTTCTGCAGCGTGACTGACTCCGTTCTGGCAGCCCAGGAGGTCTAAATGTGATGGCCACATGTAGTACTTAAGGGATGTTGTGTGTGTCCCCTCAGTGCTGGGGTACTTGTTCCTGGTCCTTGGGGCTAGACTGTGGAGCTTTTCCTCCTCCTGCTTGGGGCTAGCTACCACCTCCCTCTAATCCCAGGGTCTGTACACTGCCCTGGGGTTTACCAGCTGGATTGGCTCCTAGTTGAGAAACCAAAGCTGGGCGTATGAGACTTAACCCTTCAGGTATTGTTACTTGAGTAAGTCAAGTGCCTAGCCTCACCCACCTGCCATCTGTCCTCTCCCAGCCTCGCTGGTAGTCCTGGCTAAGGAGATCTAGGCTTACGCCATTCCTCCTGGCCCACGTGGGGCTCTCACTGGCAGCAGCTGTGCTTGAATGGAGCAGGTGGCTCTCAACTGCTTGTTAGTAAACTGCACGTGACTGTTCCCACCGATAAGGCTGACCTCTGAGCACTGGAGCAGGCTCTGGAGGAGACTTGAGCTCTGCCTGCTGCTGCTGCCACAGGGAACTTGTTCTCAGCGGCAGCAGCCAACTGGCCCTCCTGTCTTTGGGCCAGAGCACATGCATGGCCTGCTGAACCCAGGCCCAGGTTTATCCCCAAGGTCCCAGCTGAGAAGGGGGAAGGCCCTTGGTAAGTTATTCATGCCCCCATATTTCAGCCACTGGCCTCTTTCCAAGGCCTTGTATGGAAAGGCGTGCTAGCCATTGTCCCTGGGCAGCTCTCTTGGCCTCTGCAGGCGGCAGCAGCCTTTCACCAGAGCTTCATCTGTGAAGAGGCCAGGGAGGTGCAGCCCTGACTGAGCTGAGCCTGGGAGAACCAAAGCAACTGTTAAGGACAGCCCTTGCCCCTCAGCCCTACCATAAAACATATGAGCCCTAGACTGACTCCTGCAGCACCCCCGGGACAAGCTGGGACCAGCTGTCCGTCTCCAGGTGGCAGAGTCCCTCCTCCAACCTCTCCAGCCTACTTTGGAAATACTGAGCTACACTTCAAAATGTATTCAAGAGATTTCCAATAAATTTTTTTCTGTACTTTACAGTCTCCTGTCCTGCAAAGTTGTCTGAAGACCTTGTAACTCCTTTTCCCCCCGCCCCAATGCAGGTCTGGGAAAGGGGAGAGTGGTGCGTTGTGAAGCTTGCAAAAACCTGTGTCCACAAGCCTGTTTAGAGTGGGGTGCGGCCACTTACGGGCTGTGTACCCTGGGGTTTCCTGGGTCAGGAAACTTCTTAGAATTTCACTCTCCCTGTTCCCCTGTCAGCAGCTTGTATTTGAATATTCATTGGCTAATGCATTTAAAATACCCCCATAGTAAACTCTCCATAAAATGTAGGCCACTGTCAGCTCTTTATTGCCTCTTATGTAACAGAACTCATCTTGGAGGAATGGTTCAGAGGGAAAAACAACAGTCCTGGTGGCAGGAAGTGAAGGGCTCTCCAAGCCATTGGGGTTGGGAGCATGAGCAACCAGAGAGGGAAGCAGCAGGAAGTTAAGGGCCCATGCAAGTTTATTCGCTGCCTTGATTTGACCAGCACTCCCACCAGGGCCCTAGGGCGGTCCTTGAGCCAGGAAGAGGAGCCCTATGGGGGTTGCGTCCTGTCTGGCCCCTGGGGGCTGGGGCTGCCAGCCTCTTCACCTGGCCAGGGCCAGCCCTGCCTCCTAGTTTGTGCCCATATTTGGGGGAGGAAGCTGAAGGTAGAGCCAACGTCCCAGAGGCAGAGAGAGTTCTAGAGGCCAAAGAACAGACAAAAACGACAGCCGCTGTTTGGTTGCTGCCCCACCCACCTTCAGGCTGAAGCCAGGTCCAGGATTAAAAAGGGCTGGTTAGAAAATTCTAAATCCAGCCCATTGCTGGAACCGGCAGCTCGTGCTTATTAGTAAACCAGATGACACTGATCATGGGGCCAACCAGGACAATTGCCTGATACTTGTGTCAGAAGTGATGAAAAGGCTGTTCGCAGTGTTCCCCTTCAGCCAGGAACCCCCAATAACGAGCTCAGTTGCCCCATGCCCAGCAATGGTGTCCTACCTCTTTAAAGCATCTCCCTGCACTCCACCCCTGGAGGCCAGCATTGCTAAGGCCTTGGTAAATTGGCATTTAAGTCACTCAGCAGAGGCCCTGCCAGGAGCCCAATCCAAGTAAACAGTTTCTTCACTGCTGTTTCCCTGGGTCACTGCCTCTCCGTTCCAGTCACCCAGCTCTAGCTGAGCAGATCCAGAGAGAGAGGAGGCCCCTAGTGCCTGGTGGAAGGCCACCATCTTGCAATGGGACTCGCCTCCTGGGGCTCAGGCCTAATGTTTGTAACCAGCATCTTAACACTGCCTGATCCCACAGCTCTGGCCCTGAAAAACCAGGCACAGCTGGGGCCGCTTAGAGCCTCCTGATTACCATTAGTAAGCAAGCAGCAAACACCTGGAACTTGACCACTGTGGGAAGTGAAATTCTGTCCTACCCTCCCACTGACAAACCTTTAAAAAAAAAATTGTGGTAGAATAACTATCTTGACCTTTAAAGCAAAGCAAAACCTGCTCAAGAGAGGATAGGGGAACTGAATCTGTCACAGCCTCCGTGTGAGTAGGTGGCAGATGGAAATGGCCTGACTTCAGGCTAAGGGGTGGCATGGTGGGGAGGGCTCAGGGGCTGAGGGACCCTCTCTCAGCTGCTGCACATTCACGCATGACCACTGCACACTTGTGATGTTAGATGCTGTCTACATTTTTAATTTTTGAGGTAGGGTCTCCCTTTGTCACCTAGGCTGGAGTGCATTGGTACAATCACAGCTCACTGCAGCCTTGACCTCCAGGGCTCAAGCAATCCTCCCACCTCAGCCTCCTTAGTAACTGGGACCACAGGCGTGTGCCATCATGCTTGGCTATTTTTTAGATTTTGTAGAGACAGGATCTTATGTGAGATCTATGTCCAGGCTGGTCTTGAACTCCTGGGCTTAAGTGATCCTCCTGTCTCTGCCTCCCAAAGCAGTGGGATTACAGGTGTGAGCCACGTGCCTGGGGTGTCTGCATGATTTCTGACCCTCAGAGGAACCGTCTTCTGATGAAGCAGCAGTCACAGGGTAAGCCAGAGATTATTGGCGAGACCTGGTACATGAGGGAATGAGGACTCAACTCTCATGTGACCCCAGATCCCACACCATTGTCCACCACAGTCCACACTTTTCTTCCCCCTACTTGCCTTAGATAAATTTAAGTTCCCTTCAAACTTCTGGTACCTTCAAACTGGGAAACAGGAGGCCCTGGTCATAGGATAGAGTACATGGTGGCCAGCTGGAATACTGGGGTACAAATAAGGGAAGGTTGCTGTGGACACCTCCATGTCTAGAAGTTGGTCAGGAAGCTGCCCTCATTACCACTCGAGTGCACAAGATGAGGAAGCGACAGACCGGGGAGGGTACCTCCTGAGGCCCCATCTGTTCCTCTTCCTCTACCGCACCACACTTCCCATCTAGTTCCCAACTTCCACGCCCCACTCACTTGCCCAACATCCAGATGGGCAGTTTTGCATCTCCATTTTTATTGAAATACAAAAAGTGTAAATGGTGAAATACATGATTTGTGCCAAGGAAGTCATTAAGTGTGAATGTGAACACTGGATTCACAGTACAAGCGCCCATTCCCCAGGGTACAGACCAGTGGGGGCACGAGAAAGACCAAATAGATCCGAAAGGCTCCCCAGTGAATGGGGCTGTGAGCGACACTTGATACACAAAGGAGGACGGGCAGCAGAGCAGCCCAGGCCCAGGCTAGAGACCAAGGGACTCACAGAGAGCCCAGGCTCCAGTGGCAGGGGTGCGGGTATTCACTGCTGATGGCCTTGGGAGAGCCCAGCGAAGTGACACCCAGGCCCAGCCTGGCTTGCAGATGAGGCTGGGCTGGCCAGTGAGGATCCCCACAGTACAGGCTCTGGAATTGTCCTGCCTGGCCAATGTCATGGGGGCAGGGTCACTGGAGCAGAGTATTTCCCTCTACTCCCCAAGGACAAGGCTGCAGGAAGAGGGGTCCCCAGAGTTCATCAGGAAGGAGTGTAATTTTACAAGACAGTGGGAGAGATCAGCCATCATTGGGGTCGAATTGCTGTCGAAGTTCCTTGAAAGCAGGGCCCTAGAGCCCCATTAATCCCCTGGGCAAACTGCTAGAACCCACCGATCTGGGCTGACCTATCAGCACAATCTTTGCCCTCCTATGGGCACTCAGCCTCTACCCCAGCCCCTTTAAGAGTACCCCAGCTGGAGGAAGGAGCCACAGATCCTGAAGCACTGAGTCACCTCTGGCCAGGGCAGGGGCCACTGTGACTCCACAACAGGCAGGTCCACAAGAATCTGAAGGCTGAGGATCTGCCTGTGTGGGAAAGGAGGCCAGGCAGAGAGAGGCTGACCCTGCCAGTCACTGATCCCACCACACACTCAGAGGCAGGGAGGGAGATTTCAAATGGACGCCGGGACTCTGAGCCCTGTCATCCAAGCTACCATTCCTGACAGAACCAGGGGCTTGGGACACCCCAGGGGCATTATCACTTGGGAAAGGCTGACCCAGGATTCATGGAAGAGAAGGAGGCAGAAAGCAGATACTAGGCTCCAGCCCTGTCACTCCTCAGCAGGGGAAATAACCCAGGCTGAACTGCTGGGGGCAGTATAGCAGCAGGGGTGCTTGCACTCCTTCACACAGTGGGACTTAGCAAAGCAAGGCAAAGCACAGCAGCCAACCAGACAGGGAGGCGCCTCAGCGTGGGGCAGTGGCCACACCAAGGAGCTCAGCTGCTCATTCCCAGCAATCAGAAGGGGAGGACCGGCCCCTGCTACCAGCCCAGCCGGCAGTGATTTGATTCACCCACAGTTGCCAGGGAAACAGAGGCAGGAAAAAGCAGGAAAGGGGTTACTGGGGCTCAGTTCTTCTCCAGCTAGAAGAGCCAAGCCCAGCTCTGGAAAGCCCAGCAATAGCTGGGTGTCCAGAGAGGCAGTGAGAAGTGTAAGGCGAAGAAAAAGTCTTCTGGTAACAGCGAGGCCGCCAGGGCCGTGAGGTGGGCTGGACAGAGGTGGGGGAGAGCATGCCTGATGGGCGGCTCCAGCATCTCTCTCCAGGGGGCTTCAAGGCCCCTGATGGCAGGAGGAAGAATCCAAACCCGGGCTATCACAGAGGGGCTGGTGGGGCAGGGGCCGGGCTCAGAGCCCCCTGGGGTCTGGGCTAGGGAACAGCTCCCCTTGATGATCCAGAAGGAACTTGGTGAAGGTGTTGATGGGATTAATGGCCTTGAGGGTGATGGCCGCATCCTTGGCCCACAGCAGGTTAGGGCCAAAGACAACAGCCAGGTTAGTGTTGGTCATCTTGTTCTGGTCACTGTGTGCAGAAATCTGGGGAGGGAATTGGGGGCTGCAGCAGAGAGCCACAGACTCTGCATCCCACTCCCAGCAATCCCGACCAGGGCACAGAGGCAGCAGCTCCTCCTTCCCCTCCCTTCACCCCAGAGGCCAAGTCCAAGGTCTCACCTGCACCAGGAAAGCAGTCAGGAAACGAAGCACCCGGTAGTTCTCCTCGGGCAGCGTCTGGAGGACCTGCAGTGTCACTGCCACCCTCTGGCTCTCATCTATGTCTAGAGAAAAGGGGGCCCGGTTGACAGGGGCCCTGGGCTGGGCTGGTTCAGAAAGCCCAGATGCATGCTAGAGGGGAGACCCCCCCCCAGCTGTCCTCCCTGCGAGGCGCCTAGGCCTGCCAGCCCACAGCACACCTGCCCCAAGTCCAGTCTCAGGCTCAACAGAAGAGAGGGGAACTCACTGAGGAAGCCCACCACATGGGGGTAGAGGTCAAAGGTGAGCAGGGGCTCAGGAAGCTCCCTGAGGAAGGTCTTGAGGATGACTGCTGGCAGGTGCAGCTCGTTGTACTGGCTGAAGTCCACAGGCAGCCCTGGGGTGGGGGCAGCATGAGAGGAGCTCGGCGCAGCCTGAAGGGCAGCACCCATCTGGAGACAACGCAGGCCCCACTGCCTGATCGCCCTTGGACCCTGCACAGGCCCCTTCTCCCAGGGGCACC